TCTTGTTAGAGGGGTCTAAATACAGCACAAACAACATTTTCCAAAAGACAAAAAAATGAAAAAGTATATTTTAACAAAACGCATTTGACAAACAGGTCGAACAACAAATTTTCTTAAACTCTGCTGACTGCCATTGGCGATTGCCAAATAAACGGATCACCGATGTAATAAATGGATCTTAATTATAAATTTAATACTAAACAGAAAACAATAAACTTGCGGAAAAGATGGTATACCGCAAACAAAAGGTGCAAAGGTTTTTGTACACCATATCCGGATTTCGACAATTAATGTCCCTTCAGTGATGTTAGGAATCGAAACGGTATTTGGAAAGCCATACAATTTACCTCAATTTAGGATAGACTCTTGAATTTTGAGGAGTCAAAAAAGGATGAACGGATCATATAAACCCAAAGGCAAATATAATACAAGCCCAAACGAAAAAATATAAACAAGTCTAAATTGAAATCAACGTTCAAAACTGTGATTGCGTTGGATAAAAACCGCAATTTTTATACGTGTGCATGCAAATCAAATTTCTTGTTAGAGGGGTCTAAATACAGCACAAACAACATTTTCCAAAAGACCAAAAAAATGAAAAAGTATATTTTAACAAAACGCATTTGACGAACAGGTCGAACAACAAATGTTCTTAAACCCTGCTAACTGCCATTGGCGATTGCCAAATAAACGGATCACCGATGTAATAAATGGATCTTAATTATGAATTTGATACTAAATAGAAAACAATAAACTTGCGGAAAAGATGATATACCGCAAACAAAAGGTGCAAAGGTTTTTGTACACCATATCCGGATTTCTACAATTAATGTCTTTTCAGTGATGTTAGGAATCGAAACGGTATTTGGAAAGCCATACAATTTACCTCAATTTAGGATAGACTCTTCAATTTTGAGGAGTCAAAATAGGATGAACGGATCATATAAACCCGAAGGCAAATATAATACAAGCCCAAACGAAAAAATATAAACAAGTCTAAATTGAAATCAACGTTCAAAACTGTGATTGCGTTGGATAAAAACCGCAATTTTTATACGTGTGAATGCAAATCAAATTTCGTGTTAGAGGGGTCTAAATACAGCACAAACAACATTTTCCAAAAGACCAAAAAAATGAAAAAGTATATTTTAACAAAACGCATTTGACAAACAGGTCGAACAACAAATTTTCTTAAACTCTGCTGACTGCCATTGGCGATTGCCAAATAAACGGATCACCGATGTAATAAATGGATCTTAATTATAAATTTAATACTAAACAGAAAACAATAAACTTGCGGAAAAGATGGTATACCGCAAACAAAAGGTGCAAAGGTTTTTGTACACCATATCCGGATTTCGACAATTAATGTCCCTTCAGTGATGTTAGGAATCGAAACGGTATTTGGAAAGCCATACAATTTACCTCAATTTAGGATAGACTCTTGAATTTTGAGGAGTCAAAAAAGGATGAACGGATCATATAAACCCAAAGGCAAATATAATACAAGCCCAAACGAAAAAATATAAACAAGTCTAAATTGAAATCAACGTTCAAAACTGTGATTGCGTTGGATAAAAACCGCAATTTTTATACGTGTGCATGCAAATCAAATTTCTTGTTAGAGGGGTCTAAATACAGCACAAACAACATTTTCCAAAAGACCAAAAAAATGAAAAAGTATATTTTAACAAAACGCATTTGACGAACAGGTCGAACAACAAATGTTCTTAAACCCTGCTGACTGCCATTGGCGATTGCCAAATAAACGGATCACCGATGTAATAAATGGATCTTAATTATGAATTTGATACTAAATAGAAAACAATAAACTTGCGGAAAAGATGATATACCGCAAACAAAAGGTGCAAAGGTTTTTGTACACCATATCCGGATTTCTACAATTATTGTCTCTTCAGTGATGTTAGGAATCGAAACGGTATTTGGAAAGCCATACAATTTACCTCAATTTAGGATAGACTCTTCAATTTTGAGGAGTCAAAATAGGATGAGCGGATCATATAAACCCGAAGGCAAATATAATACAAGCCCAAACGAAAAAATATAAACAAGTCTAAATTGAAATCAACGTTCAAAACTGTGATTGCGTTGGATAAAAACCGCAATTTTTATACGTGTGCATTCAAATCAAATTTCTTGTTAGAGGGGTCTAAATACAGCACAAACAACATTTTCCAAAAGACCAAAAAAATGAAAAAGTATATTTTAACAAAACGCATTTGACAAACAGGTCGAACAACAAATTTTCTTAAACTCTGCTGACTGCCATTGGCGATTGCCAAATAAACGGATCACCGATGTAATAAATGGATCTTAATTATAAATTTAATACTAAACAGAAAACAATAAACTTGCGGAAAAGATGGTATACCGCAAACAAAAGGTGCAAAGGTTTTTGTACACCATATCCGGATTTCGACAATTAATGTCCCTTCAGTGATGTTAGGAATCGAAACGGTATTTGGAAAGCCATACAATTTACCTCAATTTAGGATAGACTCTTGAATTTTGAGGAGTCAAAAAAGGATGAACGGATCATATAAACCCAAAGGCAAATATAATACAAGCCCAAACGAAAAAATATAAATAAGTCTAAATTGAAAACAGCGTTCAAACATATGATTGCGTTGGATAAAAACTGCAATTTTTATACGTGTGCATGCAAAACAAATTTCTTGTTAGAGGGGTCTAAATACAGCACAAACAACATTTTCCAAAAGACCAAAAAAGTGAAAAAGTATATTTTAACAAAATGCATTTGACTAACAGTTCGAACAACAAATGTTCGTAAACCCTGCTGACTGCCATTGGCGATTGCCAAATAAACGGATCACCGATGTAATAAATGGATCTTAGTGACCTAATACGATATATATGGGGTCAGTAACTTCCATATGGGGTGAGAGCGAAGCTCGAATTCCCATATGGAATTTACTGATTCCATATATATCGTATTAGGTCACTAGCACACGGTGTAACGAATTTATCTTACTGACTATTTTCATTTGTGGTATTTAGACTACTGGCCAATCAAAGTAATTACTTCCATTTGTCTATACAAAAAACAAATTAGTTATATTATATGTTTATATATATAAGCCAACAATAACAACTTGTTAGGTTTAAATTTGTTTTATGAATCTATTTCAATCTTTCATTGTATGTATCAATTTCTTCGTCTGTTGAAACCTTTTAGATTTCTTTTTTGTTTTAAAAGGAAAGTAAGTCTTTAATGCCAACAACAACAACTTGTTAGCTTTGAACGTGTTTTACAAATTTATTTCAATCTTTCATCACCAATTTTTTTGTCTGTTGAAACCTTTTATATTTTTCCTCAACACAGTGTTGTTTTATAAAGGAACGTGCCATCTTTTTTGTTTTTAAAGGGAAGTTACTCTTTACTAACCCCATATGGTAACTAACCATATATGGTAACTAACCATACATTTTTTAGGACACCCTATATCAAATATATATAGTCTCCACGTGTAGTCCTTTAACCAATCATATCCCTATAAATCTATAGGAGGTAAGATAAATATATATATATATATAAACGGCTTAAACATGTACAACTAAGACAACACTAATATAAAAAAAAGAATCATTAAATGTAATTATCTATAAATAGTTCAGATAACAGATATCTTCCATCAGGGAGATTATGATGTAAATTGAAGCATATCAATCTATTCTGATTTAACTATTGTTATCTGTAAATTTTTACAATCAAAATCAAACAAAACAACGCTCGTTCAATTTCTAAAATTACGTAGGTAAGGTATTAACAACATAGACTGCACAGATATGCTTCTAACAAAATAGTAATGTGCGATATGAATTGGACATTTGTAAAATTTCACAGGTGACGAAAGTTAAGGTATTAGAATAAAGACTGCATAGAAACACATTCCCAATGAACAGCACTGACCGATTTGAGCTGGTATAATACTCAAATTTCAACAGAAGCTGCGTATTTACACATCTCAAATATCAGTTTGATAATGATTTTTTTTTTATTATCTAGACAAATGTCAAGTCAGATATGTATAGTATGCATGTCATCGATCCCGAATATTGGTACACAGATATATCTGAGGTTCATTATAATGTTGTCGTGCATGTAAACTCTCAATTGAACTTCAAAGAAGACTAATCTGTATCTTTTGTATCCTTTGTTTATAGTTTCAATGAAATGGTTGTAATCCGTTAATACATCAAGCATTCAAGAAGAGGACACATCTCAACATATTACCGTAACCAAAAGTTAAAAAATCATGTCATGCTGTCTTCGTTTTCCCCTGAAAGATTGCTTATAAAGTCTCGCTAATGTAATTACGGAAACAGTCAATTCCCCATTTCCATTCTCAATTTTAATAAAAGAAGTAGCCATTGTTTGTTCATGAAGAAATGCAATCTGTTTGTTTAAATCATCATCCGCTTAATGTTACGAAAGTGCTAATTTTTTTCATCATATGACGTTCTACTTTCGTAGACAGAGTTTGTTTATCCTGTCTACACAATTGCCCTAATTCGTTTATATTGTTGTCGGTCTACGACTGTTTCATTTAATTTAGTAGGTAGAATGTGGAAAAGTTGATATCCTGGATTTGCCAAAGTCTGCATATAATCCTATGGAAAATTTAAAATTCGTTGAATCTTTCAATTTGTGTTTTATGTACCCACGAAATCAACGAGAGTTGGTTTCCAATGAATAAGAAAACATCCAAAATATTATATATGATTTGTCATCTGTGCTCATCAATACGCTGTAATTCATAATTGATTGTTTATTCATGAAATGCGTGTTTAGCTTATCAAATTTCCAAGTCTGTAATCTTTGGTACGTTTTTTTACCAAAACGAACATGATATTTTCAGTAGGTTTGTCAATATAAAAAAGTACACACAAACGGTGATTAAAATAAGAAAATTCAATACTTAACATACAGGCAATAAACATAGAATATAACTATATACCTTTTTCCTTTCTGTAGGTAGTATGTATCGGCAATTTTGAGTCGATTTTCAAACTATCAGGCGTCACTGGTAATGGCGACCTGATAATGATAAAATTGAATAAATGTACAAGTTTATTTTCAATTAATCGTTTTTTAAAGGAACATTGCCGTACAAAGAAATTGTACAACAAATATTTAGGAAATGCAAAGCTTACAATAATACGATGCTGAATATACACTTTACAATTTAATATTTCAGAGAATCGGTAAGTAACTTTTTACACATAACTGCGGCGAAGTTCAGCAAAAGGTGGTATGACATAATCTGTCAAATAAATTCTATTATATCATCTCTTTAAAAAATGGTCTTTTCAATTATCAATTTAAATCTTCGATCTTATATACATTGGCAAGTCAGGTCCAAGTATTCTTGTGAAAAAGTAACAATAATAACGATCGATTGTTGATTTGCATCAATGGGATGATAGCATACACAATATTCTATTTTATTTTATTTTAAAGTGGTAATTATAACGTATATAGCTTCCGTGACTTATGTAGACTTTTGTTCTCAAATAAGATAAGTAAAAGAAGCATTCAACTCCTAATAAATTCCATTGTCGGTCATATGTGTCAATTTACGTGCACAGGTGCACAATACTACCGTTGTTGTATTTGTAACACTCGACAATGAAATGGGACGTAACCTTTTTTTTTGCTGTTCGAAACGTGAGATTGTTATTATTAAATAAACAGACGCTAAGCTTAACTTCAATTCGGTCGAATAAAATACCTTTATCTTGAACAGAACTCTATATAAGGGCGTTCTCAAATAAATCGTGAAAACATAATGCTTTTCTTAATATTCAATTTAAATATGCGTAAACCACAAGGACCTAATTGGGACCCGTCCAAATAAAAAAAAATATGTGTTGAGAATACCTCTGACCGAACATGTCTGCATATTAATTGCACTTATTAAAAAATCCTGATGTAAAATAAACCAATGTCGTTGTTTGCGCCCATTTTGAAATAAACAATAAAAAAATCAATTTTAGAGGTTATTTAATACTTCAGCAGCTGATTGTTCTGACTTATCCTGATCGGTTGGTCTGTGAGGTTTCAGCCAAGTGATGCTGCTAAATAATCAACAGTTTTATACAACGTCATTTTAGCCTATACTTCACCATCTAGTACCCGTCTCATAAAACGGTTGCTTAAATATTATGTGCATCTTGAGAATTCTATAACTCTTCACCAATAAGCAATCAGTTGACATCGGGAAATATAGCAAAATGTTTTTTTTTTTTAGCTTAAACCACTCTCTTTATATGGCTTCCGGAAAATACCAGAAACCTTAATACTGTATGCCAAACTTGAGTCTGAAAACTGTTGTAGATATGTTCAGATCTCAATAGGGTAAATAAAGGCAATAGTAGTATAACGCTGTTCAAAGGTCATAAATATATTGAGAGAAAACAAATCCGGGTTACAAACTTAAACCGAAGGAAACACATCAATTTTAAGAGGAAAACAACGAAACAACAGAAACACTGAAGTGCAACAAAAAACAAAAGACAATGCAACATACATAGAAACGAACTATTAGATAACAACTGCCATATTCCTAACTTGGTACAGGACATTTTAAGAAAAAATGGTGGGTTGAATCTGGTTTTGTGGCTAGCCAAACCTCATGTTTTATGGCAATGGTAAATATACCACTAACATGACAACATTACATGACAGGAATACAGTACAAATAAATGCAAGAACATTCAGGACAGAGAAATACATAAATAAATAATATAGCAGTACATTTCGACATGTTAACCACAGAATAGCAACGAATACGTAAAATAAGAGTACACCAAAACAGCATAATAGAATTACGAACTGTCCGTCACACGAATGTATAAACGCCACAAAAAGTGACGTCACAGGTAAATTTCTAAAAATTAGATATCAATCAAGATTAGGTTTGTAATTATGTTATTTGATGTATTTAAAATGAGGTTGTTAAATTGATGTATGCCTTTTTGTGCTTCTTTGTTACACTTGTTTGTTTTATAGTCATTAAGATGATAACACAATGTTGACTGCTGTACCCCTATTTTTGACATTTTTACCTATTGTGTCTGTTTGTTTTCTTCACGCATCGTTGTCAATATAATGGAATTTGATGCGACTGTCATACAAGTGAGAGGTTTAGCTAGCTATAAAACCAGGGTCAATCCACCATTTTCTACATATGAAAATGTCAGGAATATGACAGTTGTTATCCATTCGTTTGATGTGTTTGAGCTTTCGGTTTTGCCATTTGATTAGGGACTTTCCTTTTTGAATTTTCCTCGGAGTTCAGTATTTTTGTGATTTTACTTTTTATAACAATTACAAGAATATTAATATAGAAATGTGTCAGTAATTAGATCATTAATAGCGTTATCTAGCTATGTCAGTTTTTCTTCTAAATCAAACTGTTAAACAAATAAATCGTGTACAAATAGTTGCTTTGAACTAAAATTATATAAATGAACTGGTTGATTAATTATCTATACTTTTACATACGAATAGAAAATAAAAGATAGAATTACAACTAGAAACAATAAGACATATAACAATATCAGATCAGAAATATAAATACAACATCGAAACTAAATACATGAATGTTGGATAAACAAATACCGTGACACGTCTTAAAGCAATGCGAATTCACACTCAACAAAACAGTCATATTCGGGAATAGATCACGTTCGATACTTAAAAGACCAGACGACGTAAATGGTAAACCACAATCTAAAACGTGGTAAATATGTCCTTAGTTAGTTTACACAGACACATCGTATGGATCAACCAATTCGTGTTAAATTTGATATCCATAGCTGCAGTTACGTTTATCAAAAGATGGCGGACGATGTTTCTACCAAGTATTTCTTTTTAGATTTTATAATAATCATGATAATTGTGCATTATTCTTCGCGTCTTTTTTATAAAATTACTAAATTTGAAACTGAAATACTAACGGATGTTTTCATAGTTCAACCGCTAAATTGAGAAATAAATCATTAAAAAGGCGATGATATGAGTAACTGTTAAGACTGGTATCCGTAATTGTATTAAACGTTTAGAAACTATATCCGTAACTGAGGAGGTTTTTTTCTGCGTCATTCTTTATCCTCGATTTAATAGACCAGACGAGCAAATTTTTGGAAATAAAACTGTCATAAAGTCGTCAAAAGGATAGAAATTATCGGAAACGGAAAAATGTATGCATTTTTTTTATCACAATATTAGAAAACAATCCAAATGCAAACCGGTCTCATCACATCCGTGGTTCATTGTGTCTGTTGAAGACTACAACAGAACATGGGCAAAACGATAAGAATTTAAACTTGACACTTTGTCAGGATAGGTCAAAATAATCAGGTCGAATTAATAAGTTGAAAAACTGTTAATAATACACAGGCCATTTTCAGAAACAAAGAAGCTGTAACGAAATTCTTTATCATTTTGAATATCGATCTTTCCCTGACATTACTCTATCAAAACGTTTGATTTTTCAACCCTGTTTTCAACCAGTCCCCATATAAAATTGAAAAATCGTCTAAAAACAATGGTAAATTGTAGCATACGCTAAAAATTTATTTCTTTGAGATACTATACAGCATATTTTGTTAATATTCATTTAGGTAACACATGCTACACTTAATGGAAGTGTGAAGAGATGATTGAAGCTGTTAATTTTCTCCTTGATAATATTTATGCACGTTTCGGCAACAAAGTTCACGGGTAGTAACCTCGTCATATCGAGGAGCGTTTAGTACAGTGATTTTGTCATATTTAGGTAAGTTGATCATGGTTAAGTTAAGTTACTTCCCCGAACGATTGCCCCAGTTCTATTCAAACAGGCAAATACAAAGCAAATAAGATGTTTGAATATGTATTGTAAGTCAAACGATCTACATTGGAATCGCTGTTTTCAAGAAATTAACGCAGAATAGCTATCGAAATTGCTATGGTTTGGTTAAGCGATTGACATTGTTCGGTTAAGTGTCTAGAAATTTGTCATGGTTTTGATCACGTCTGTCATGGTTTACATCCAAATCAATGTATATGTGTATCAGCTTAATATTGATAGTTTGTAATTAAACGAAGTTAAACAATTTACCAACTGACTTAGACATGTTAGAAGAAAACTAGACAAAGTGATGCCCTCGCACTCCACTCTGAAGCAACTCTATTAATTCTTTTTGATATTATTGTGTCTGGGAGACACAATTGATGCCCCCGCAGATGCAAAGTGTTTAAAATACACACAATTAAGCATGGGACCACATAGGTCAAAGGTTCAGATCAAACTGTAAGAGGAGTTATGCCGAATAACTATAACATTTAACCGCTTATACCCTAAAAATGACAAAGTTCAACTATCTCCCAAAACAGCAAATATTAATAAAATCAAAACTCTGACCACATGCACACTTTCAATATATGCACAAACAGCCAGCAAAGTGAAAACTTCCTAGCATTTAAACTGTAGAAGTAGTTATCCGGACCTATAACATTTAACTGCTTATACCCAAAAAAGACAAAGTTCAACTACAGTATCTCCAAAAAGAGCAAATATTAATCCAAATCTAAACCCTGACCATATTCACACCTTCAATATATGTACAAACAACCAGCAAAGTAAAAATTTCCTAAGATACAAACTGTAGGAGGAGTAATGCGGAATGACTATCTACCCATAATGGGACGGACGGACGAAAGGACTGAAGGACGGACGGATGGACAGACAGACAGATGGACAGACAGACAGAAGGACGGACAGGGGTAAAACAATATGCCCTCCAACTTTTAGTTGCGGGGGCATAAAAAGACACTTTTAAACCATATTTTGATGGTGTAATCGGTAAAGCGTACATTAAACAATTCAGTTAGGAATAATAGAGCACTCATGTAATCCCACATACAAAAAAAAGTAAAAACACAAAAATACTTAACTCCGAGGGATATTCAAAACGGAAAGTCCCTAATCAAATGGCAAAATCAAAAGCTCAAACACACCAAACGAATGGACAACAACTATCATATTCCTG